CACTCAGTCATGGCGTCATCAAACTACGCCTTTGTCTCTTTGTTTATTTTGAATACGCGCCCTCTAGCGGCAAAAATTACATATTGTGCCTTTAAGTCAACAAATTATATCACATATAACTTTTAAACGGGCAAGGTCAGGAAGAGCTTCTGTTACGTTAGTCAACATCATGCCAACATGTTTAAGATACACTTTTGAAACACTGTATTTTAAAGCTGCAGTCCGTAATTTTTTTGTGTTCAAAATGTATATAGTAAGCGAGTACACCATGAATCCATTTTCCAAACCGTGTTTTTAGCTTGTCCTGAATCACTACGGTACACCTATAATAAGTGTTTATATTCGGACTATTCAGACTGGTTCGGGTAGGTACCGCTGCGGAGTAGCCCAGTACCTGCGTGATTCGCCATAGACATAAACAGAGAGAAGTAGCTCCGGCTACAATGTTCTTCCGCAAGACGCACGCAGTTCTGTTTATTAACCGCTAGAGCGCCAAAAGTTACGGACTGCAGCTTTAATGTTTACTGCTTGGTCTGTGTTCTTCCATTATAAGTGCTTTACAGTAACCACATTTTTTGTAATGTCAATCATGGTTATGGATCTGATGACCCATATATGTGTTTTCAGTGCTGTCAATCTTGTTGAAAACTTTTTATTTTCCTCTTCATTCCTCCTACACCATTATTACACATGGATTGGAACATGGATTTGTTTGAAAAAAAAAGAAGAAAAAAACCCCAATTTGCATTAAGGTCTTCAAATCTATTTTTTCTCTGATGCACCTAATTCTGGATAATATGACAGAAAATGACAAAATATTAAATGATTCTATCAACATGATTGGCTTGTCTCATCAATCAAAATTTGCCAGAACATATATTCTATATACTAAAACATTATTCTACAAATTCTTTTGAACCCATTCAGTTGGTCTCTGTTAATTAATCATGTTCAAACAAACTTAATTCAAACAAGCGTACGCTTGTTTGATATTCTTTAACAGGAGAAAATGTGTAGTTTTACAAGGTACATGTGAAAACAGACAAAGCAGATCTATTAAATTGATGTTTTCATTTATTTTTGTTGTCATTTTCCTCAAATGTGATCAGAATGCATTTCAGTGTAAAAATCA